GGTTCTGCTCACATTCAGGGGTTTCCCTGTCCTGTCTCTGATGGTTCTGCTCACATTCAGGGGTTTCCCTGTCCTGTCTCTGATGGTTCTGCTCATGTTCATGACTTTGTCTGTCCTGTCTCTGACGGTTCTGCTCACGTTCATGGGTTTGCCTGTCCTGTCTCTGACGGTTCTGCTCACGTTCATGGGTTTGCCTGTCCTGTCTCTGATGGTTCTGCTCATGTTCAGGGGTTTGCCTGTCCTGCCTGTGACAGCTTTGTTCCTCTTCATGGGTTTGCCTATTCTGTGCCTGACTTTCCTGACCCTCATGGCTCTGTCTACCCCAGCTTTGATGCCTCTCCTCTGTCTGGTGGCTTGCCCCCTCACTATAGCTCTGCTGGTTCTGGGCCTGTTTGTGGCTCTGTTCCCTGTCACATGATTGCTGGTCTCTTCCTTTGTGGCAGAGTGACCTTCCTTGCTGGATTTGTGCCAAGAGTTTGTATTGGTTGTGTTGAGTATCCTCCTCAGGCTGCCCCTCCCATACCTGGTGACTATTCTGGAATCCTTGAGCCTGTTGATTTTGTGTCCCTGACCTTCCTGATTGCTCAACATATGAGTCTCTTCTTGTTCCCTCACTCCCTTGGAAATACCTTTTTTGCCCTTGTATTTGGGTTTCCCCAGTTTCTCTCTGATCATAGTGATAACTCTGGCTTTGTCTATCTGTCTGACCATAGTGGGAACTCTGACCTTGTCTGTCTGTCTGTCCACAGTGGGAACTCTGGCCTTGTCTGTCTGTCTGTCCACAGTGGGAACTCTGGCCTCGTCTGTCTGTCTGGCCATACTGAGAGCTCAGTCCTTGTCTGTCTGTCTGACCATAGTGAGAACTTAGGCCTTGTCTTTCTGTCTGGCCACAGTGAGAACTCTGGCCTAGTCTGTCTGTCTGTCCATAGTGGGAACTCTGATCTTGTCTGTCTGTCTGACCATAGTGGGAACTCTGGCCTTGTCTGTCTGTTTGATCATGGTGAGAATCCAATCCTTG